GTTGAATCTAGTGGCACTGAAAATGCTTTTAGACAAGGTTTTTATTATGCAATTAGCCAACTCCATTCACAGAACAATACAGGGGTCCACATGTCTTTCAATTTATAAACTTTCCCTGGTTTCCCACAATTTTCCTATTTTTCTACAATTTCTTCTATAATTTTTCTTACCACTGAAATCCATTAAAGATGGAAAAGCAGAACAGCTGCATGATCTCTTTTAACTAGATGAGGAGCTTTCTGCTCAAAGCACCCTGACTTTGAAATAAACACATATAGAATTGTACTCTAACAATTTACTTCTAAACCTGCTGATATGAATTAAAGATTTCTTCTGAAATTACCCAGAAAGTTCACTTCCAAATAGGTGCCAAGATATATCTATGCATGTTCAGGACACACAGTGATATAGTTTTTGAAAACTACAGATATAATAACCTCTAGTCAGTTATGCTTGATAACTTTTATTGAAGTGCATAGATTTTCCCCAAAGATGGGAAAATCATGTTTTCTTTACAGTCCTATTTAGGAAGGAGTGAGAAATTCATTTTGTTTACATTTAATGTGAGAAGGTCCAGTTTGTACCACACAATATAATAAAATCAAATGCATCTTGCTGATGATACATTTGCATTTCTGAGATTTGTCATGCATTTTGGGAAAATGGTTTGAGGATTGAACAATGACTCTGGAGACCAGGGTTCAAATCCTTGCTTAGCCATGAAACCCACTGAGTAATCCTAAGCAAGTCATATTCTCTCATCCTCAGAAGATAGCAATGGCAAACCCTCACTGATGAAATTTGAAAGAAAACCCCATGATAGGTTCACCTTAGGGTCGCCAAGTCGGAAATGACTTGAAGGATGCAACAACAAGATACATACCAAAATTTGTACTTTTGAAACATCTATGTAAAGAGTTGGAGAAATGTGGAAAAAATACATGGAAAGCAGACAGAGAAACTTGGATGGGTTTTCATACAAAGTGGAGGGATTTCATTTCAATGTCACTGTAAGTCAGAATGATACTGGCAGTGGAAAGATGAAAACCTGAATTAGATTGAGTTTGACAGATTTGTCAAGATCAGCCTCTTTCTATGTATGTTCACTCCAAAAAAACCCCCAAGAGATTTTGATGTCATTTAAGCCCATTTAAGCATATACAGAATCACATCCTTTGTACTGAGGACCCAAACTAGGCATGGTGATAGAAGCATATGGCATTTTTAAATTGTTTGACTTTGCAATTCGTGTGTGAAATCTGGTGTAAGATCTCATTTTAACATTTTTTTTAAAAAAAATATTTCTATCTGCTGTATATTATGTTGGGAGCCATGGAAGAGTGATATGTGATAGCTAGATAAACAAACAAACATCAGAGGCGTGCAAAAAGTGAGTGAAATATGCACATGCACATGCTATTATTCAATCACCAAGAGATAGTCCTTCAACCAGCTCCAGTACTAGATGTTACCAACCATAAAGCCAAAAGTGCTTGGACACACAGCAGGGAGGGGAGATTAGGAAAGGCAAGGTAGGATGTGGAAAGACTCTCCTCTTTTTGGCTGCATGCTCCTTTTAAATAGAAACATCTTGAGCTAGTTGTGAATGGGGCAGATAACAGATAGAACAAACATCAGTGCTGTTGCCACACCTGGCTTTGATGCTAACTAACCTTTCTGTGTGTACAGCTTAGGCCCAAGTTACCAGAAGGACCATATAGTCCTTATATGTAAGTCTGCCCAGGTTTTGAGATTTTCTGGAGTGGCCCATCTCTACGTCACACAACTTTCACAGGAACATCTAGTAGGAAAGAGCCTTTTCAGTGATTGACCCTGGGCTCTGGAAATGCCCTTTCTAGAAAGATTAAACCAATGATGATTTTGCTGTATTTCTTCAGAGAGGTGGACACTTTTAAGTTTCAATAGGCCTTTGAAG